CCCTTGAGTTTCACAGTGCACTTTTATTTGTTGTCTGAGCCAGCTCCTATACCCCAGGGCCTCACGTAGCTTCCAGCCATCGCTGCATCTTCAATTAGTTATTATGCCCACCCCCCTTAGCATTTTCTATTTCCCACAAAGCCCTCCAGGCTCTTCCATTTTGAAGACATTAATTCAGTTCTGACCTTAACAGGGAAAGTAGTTTGAAGCTGGGCTCCACAAGGGGTAGGGTCCCCGTTTTTCTGGCTGGGTCTGAGTAGCACTGGCCGTGAAGAGGGCCTGAGGACCCCGGCCAATTGCAGTTCTGAATCCCCCGCTCTGCTAGACACACAGAAAGCAAGAGGCTTGGACAGGTTGGCAGTGGGTGTGGACATCTTCTTTGGAATGCCCCTCTTTGCCCTCTCCTGCCTGATGTTGACCCCAACTGGCTGCACAGAGCCCCTCGTCCAGTTCTACAGAGAGATCCACAGGATTTTTGTTTGTTTGTTTGTTTTTGTTTTTAAACTTTAGCTAGGCTGCCTGGACTTTTCAGAAGACTGGATGCTGGATGTTACATAGAGAGCTCTTCCTCTGAGTTACAGGTAAGCTGCTGGTGGCTGTCCCGAGGTTTGCATCTGTCCCCAAAGCTCCTATGTGGGAAGTTCCTGCTGCCTCCTCAGCACGGAGGTGGTGGGACCTTTAACAGGCGGTAAAGTCCCCACATACTTCCCAGGAGAGTAAGTGGCAGAAGACCTTGGCTCCAACACATCTCTGGCTTCCTGGCTCCCCACACAGCCTCTCCCTCAGAGGTGTTCCCACCACGGTGCTGTCTGCTGTGAAGCAGTGCAGCTCGTGTTCCTTACCAGAGGCCAAGCAGATGAGGCCGGTTAATCCCGGACCCTCAACCCACCCACCTGGGACCCAAATCAATCCTTTTCCTCATAAAGAACAGAGCCTCAGGTTTTGTGTTATAGTAATGGGAAATGAGTTTATACGTTTAATTAAAAAAACAAATGTATAATTGAATTAGTAAATTAAATAAGCCACCACACAGATAAAGGGGGTTGAGGGGTGGAGAGAGACGGGGGTGGGGGGGGGGAGAAAGAGGGGAGACAGTACAACATACAAGGAGGGAAGGGGAGAGAAGGGAAGGGAAGAGAGATGGAGACAGACCTGTTGACATTCCATGAGCGGCGTCTGGCCACGGCGAAAGCCACTGTAATCCTCCTCAGCTGTGTGAACTGAAAAGACTTGGAGTCCTGCCCTCTGCATCCTAAAGTATCCAAACAATAAGGACAAGAAATAGAGCCCTCAAAGTGTGGTGAGGATTGGGTGACGGCACAGAGCAGAAGTCATGTGATAATGGAGCCCACTGGAGGCTCAGCGGTCTGTTCCTGAGGTGAGGCAAACCTCATGTCCAGCTTCCCAGCAGTCACTGTGCTCTTTACACAGGTTAACAAAGATAAAAAATAATAATAATAAGACATTCCTTAGAACTGTCCTTGCTGAAGCAAGAAAATGTCACTGACCCTGTTGAATCACAACCAGAAGACGTGACCTCAACACTGTACGGGAAGCATGGCAGCCGCACATCTGCCCATCTGAAGGGCAGATCTTGGTTCCCCCAGTTCCGGGTTCCTCTCCTCCACTCAGCCCACTGGGTGAAGCTGCAGGACTCATCCTGGCGGGCACCGTGCTCAGGAACTTGTGCGAAAATGCTGGCCGTCTGGCCACATTTCCTGCTAATCCCTGTGTGAGGTCTCTGGGTTACTTCCATCCACTCGCTAGGCAGGGCTAACCTGTTAGCTGGCAAACAAGGTAAACCGTCAAGACTATGCATCCCCGGCCCCCAGGTCAGCAGAGGTAGGCGCATGGTGATCAGATAAAAATAATTAATAGCGCACAGCAGGACCCACAAGTCAAACAGAGCCAGGGGCAGCCTGTTGCCTCTTCCGAGTGCTCTCTGAGCTAAGGATTTCGTTGTTTTTGAGTCCTGTGATGTAGTCAGGCTGGCCTAATAGACTATCTTTCTACCTTGGCATCTCTTGGTGCTGGGATTATAGGCAAGCGTGACTTTCCAGTTTAAGAATGTTTTATGGTCTGGAGAGTGGTTAAGGGCAGGGGATCCCAGTTTGGCTGCCAGAGCCCACAAGGAGGCTCACAACGGTTTGTAATTCCAGTACCAGGAGATCTGACATCTTTTTTTGGCCTCCTCAGGCACTGAAGGCCTGCGCAGCATAGCCACACACACAAGCAAACATTCATACACATAAAAAACAAAAGACAAAATGAATAAATCTTTAAGAGTGCTTTCATGTTTTGTTCATTTTCATGTAGTGCTGGCTACTCTCCCAGCCTTTTTTTTTTTTCTTTTGTTATTACTATTGTCATTTGAGACAGGATCTTTCTTATCAGCCCAGCCTGGTCTTGAATTCTCAATCCTTCTGCCTCAACTTCTCAAATCCTAGAATTACATGAGTGTCCCCTATGCTCAAGCCTAACAATAGCCTTTCTATTTAGCAATGACTGCCATGGGGTTGGGTATGGTGATACACACCTTTAATCCCAGCACTTGAGAGGGAGATACAGGTGGAACTCTATGAGTGTGAGGCCAGCTTGTTCTGCATAGAAAGTTTTGAACCAGCCAAGGCTACACAGTGAAACCCTGTCTAAAAAAGGGGTTTTATATAGAGACTATACTCTACCTTCACATTCTCACAGAAGCCTAGAGGGGTAGCAGCAGCCCAGGCAGGTCTGCAACCATGGAGACCAGCTGTCTTTCAAAACATCTGAACTGTTCTTCCCAAGTGTCTTAACTGGGGCAATAAATTCTGGTCATGAAAACGATTCTGGGCTGCTGCTGGCTATTCTGGAAGAAACAGTTCAAGTTCAGAAGAGTCTCCTTCAAAGGGGAACTCTCGAGGGCAGAGCGGCTGCAGATCAATGGTGCTGTTTCCATGATTCTGCTTGAACTGGTCGGTGCTGGTGAATGCAGAGCTCCCCTTCCCAGTTCCTCGGGGGCATCTCCACCACCTCACTTTCCTAAAGTATGATTTTCTGGGCATGCACCTGCTGCCCTCTCGCATCCCAATGGGGACAGAAAAGGCCTCTGTACAAGACAGAGGCCAACACACCGTGCTGGGGGCTCTGCTGTGCTGCTGTAGGGAGGAGCAGCCGGCAGAGGCAGGAGCGGAGCAGCCTCCTAGTTTCAAGACTGTTTTTTCTATGGCTGAACAAAGGTTTTGCTTCTTGCTCTGTATTTTGGCAGCTCTATGCAGAGACTTTTGGGTTCAAACTTGTCACTTCCTGTGGACACAGATTCCTTAAAGCCACCAGGGCCTTGGTTGTCTTACCTTTAAAATATGAGAATGTTAGCCAGGCAGTGGTGGCACACGCCTTTAATCCCAGCACTTGGGAGGCAGAGGCAGGAGGATCTCTGTGAGTTCGAGGCCAGCCTGGTCTACAGAGTGAGTTCCAGGAAAGGCTCCAAAGCTACACAGAGAAACCCTGTCTTGAAAACAAACAAACAAACAAACAAACAATAAATAGAAATATCAGAATGTTTTTTTTTTTCTGTCAAAGATGGCTAGTCCACCAAGGACCATTGTTCCATAAACTCACCCATTTGTGAAAATCTTGTGTGCTCCAGTGTATCCAACCCTGAACTGACAGACATTTGTCATCTGCGAGTGAACCTTTATCACACCCTTGCCTGTTGCACAGATCATGAATTAGCCAGTACATCACATTCTGAGGTCTAAGTCCCACCAATGGGGCTTTCTTAATCAGATTATTTGAAGAAGGAAGATCTATCCTTAATCCGTGGCATGCCTTCTAATAGCACGGTGGTTAGTTTTATTTATTTTAGATTTATTTGTGTTTTGCTTGCAGGTATGTGCATCATATGTGAGCATACCCACCAGAGTCTGAAGAGGGCACCAGATCCCCCGGAACTAGTGTTATGGATGGTTGTGAACTACCAAGTGGCTGCCCCATGGGGACAGCACCTGGGTCCTCTGAAAGAGCAGCAAGTGCTCTTAACTGCTGAGTCACCTTTCCAGCTCCTTGATGGTTAATTTTAACTGTCATCTTAACACAGCCTCGGATTACCTAGGAAGAGGGTATCAGTGAGAAACTGTCTAGATCAGGCTGGCCTGTGGCATGTCTGTGGGGGACTGTCTAGATTACATTAATTCAAGTAAGACCTGCTCCTGTGGGTGGCACCATTCCCTAGGCAAGCAAGTATGGAGAGGGGCCTGAGCACAGTAAGCACGTATGCATTTATTTCTCTCCACCCTAGGCTGTGGACGTGACCAGCCGCTTCAAGTTCAAGTTCCTGCTCTGACAGCTCCGCTGTCCCCAGTGCTGGACTTTAACATGGCCTTGTGTGCCAAATAGACCCTTTTTGCCTTTTTTTTTTTTTTTTTTAAGATTTATTTATTTATTATGTATACAGAGGAGGGCGCCAGATCTCATTACAGATGGTTGTGAGCCACCATGTGGTTGCTGGGAATTGAACTCAGGACCTCTGGAAGAGCAGTCGGTGCTCTTAACCTTTGAGCCATCTCTCCAGCCCCCCTTTTTGCCTTTAAGTCGCTCTTGTCACAGTATTTTACCACAGCAAGGAAAGCCGGGCAGACACATAACTGCGCGCGGCGGCTGTGGACATGCTTTCATCTGCCGGTGGAGAGCCCAGCGTCCCGCCCTGACCCCGGGGTCTTTTGTGTGACTGCATCGGCAGACGCAGCTGAGCCCCCGGGCTGTTTAGGCAATCACACTTTTCCATTTTTGCATTTGCTTTCACTCCAGTGAAATAAGAATGGCTGGATCTACCAGCCACGCAGGTCGGTGGGTACCTAAAGTCCAAGCACAGCCTTCCGAGGCCACATCAGGTGGTGCTCCAGGCCCAACAGAGCTCCGCGGCCCATGTGGCAAGGTAGCACCGTCTTAGATTCCACCTGAGCCACAGCCCCGCCCTCCCGACGGCCCCGCCCACAGACGGTCCTGGCTCCGCTCGGCTCCGCCCCCTCCAGTGCTGCTAGCGGAAGCCGCCGTCAACATGGTGCAGGCCTGGTACATGGACGAGTCCGCCGCCGACCCGCGGCTGCCCCACCGCGCGCAGCCCGACCGCCCGGTGGGCCTGGAGCAGCTGCGCACTCTCGGAGTGCTCTACTGGAAGGTACGGGTGCGGGCTGGAGCACAGCGCGCCTGCGCACGCTGTGTGTGTGTGGGGGACCCGGGGTGCCGCGCATGTTCAGCATGGCCGCTCCCTCCCTCGATCTGTTTTAACTACGGTGTTTGGGCCCCGCTTTCCTCGTGGCACGCGCCCGGCCTCACAGCTAATGTTTGCAAACGCAATGCCGCCTGTCAGTCACGTGGTAGTGTCATGGGTGACGCAGTTCAGACACGAGAGGGCCGCAGACAACCCGGGGCTGGTGAAGAAGGGACAGGCTCTAGCCTGTCTGCATTGATGTGGTCAAATTGAAGTGCAAACCAGCTGGGTTAAAGTCTAGTCCGGGGAACTTTGCCGAGTCATGTCCCCTAAAACCATGGAGGCCTGGGGCTGGAGAGATGGCCCAGCGGTTAAGAGCCCCACTGGCTGCTCTTCTAGGTCCTGAGTTCAATTCCCAGCAACCCCATGGTGGCTCACAACCATCTATAATGGAATCTGATGCCCTCTTCTGGCATGCAGGTGTACATGCAGACAGAGCACTCATACCAAACACAAAAAACGCCCCCAAAAGCCATGGAGGCCTGCTCACCACATGGTGTGCCCACAGTAACGGTGTGTGGACGCAGCAGAGCTGATGCGTGGGTGGCCACATGATCAAATCCACCCCCGATGGGATATTTTTGGGTTAGGAAGCAGGGTGAAAGGTGATTGTAGAGGAATCCGGTGTGCACATGCGCAGCCAACGCTCTGCATGGGACGCATGCCCAGAAAAATCATGCGGTTGATGCACTTTGGCCTCTTGAATCAAAAATGATCGACACCAGCTCAGGCGTGGGGGGTGGTTTCAAAAAACACAGCCTTCCGGTTTGTGAGAAGTAACCTAGGCGTCCATGATGACCTCTACGCACTCACCTGGTGGCCTCCAAAATTAGTGACTTTGAGTTATCTGGAGCCGCGGCACCTCAGTCAAGCAGGGGCTCCGGGGCGGGAGGTTTGCTCAGCGAGGCCTCTGTCGTTCCTGTTGGGTGAAGGCGTTAGTCTTCTCTCCCACTGCAGAAGCTGCGAGGGAAAGGGGACGGAGCAGGGTGACAGAAAGACCCCCTCCTCACCACACAGTTGGAGTGAGAGCTCTTGTTTGGAATAGTGTCTTTGTCCCTCACGGAAACCTTAGACTAGGAGACGACGTCACTCAAGACTCTGCAAACACCAGCCGGTCTGAGAACAGCAAATTGGTTGCACAGTTGTTGAACCTGGAGTCCGATCGGGGCCTTTGGTGTCTGGTGAAGGCCCACTAACAGCTGCTGACGGGAGGCTTAAACCACTCACCTCATGCAGGAGCAATCGTGACTCCACTGGAGGCCCACCTTTTCTGTTGTCTTAAGTAGGTGATGAAGTTTCCACGCCGGGATTAGGAAGGAGCGCGTTCAGCACTGAAAATGGCGTTGAGTGTCCTGCGCCAGGCTTGCTAGAACGATGTATGAGGGCTGGAGAGCTGGCTCAGCACTAGCTCCGCGGGTTCCATTGCCACGGTCTCACAGTTGTCTGTAACTCCAGCTCCAGGGGATCTCATGTTCTCTTCTGGCCTCTGTGGACACTAGCCCCGAGAGTGGTGCGCAGACAGACATGCATGCAAAGCACTCATACACATAAAATGTGTTGATGCCTGTGCGTTGGTGTGCTGTTCTGTGATGATGATAAAATAAAGGTGCCACTTCATTGCAAAACAAAAACTAAGCGTCACTAAGTTCATCGTCAGGGGTTTCATGGAGGATTTCAGACTAGTTCTCCCAGGAGCCTTTGGGGAGAGCACGTCAGGAAGAGGGGGTCCGTCCTTGGCTTTGGACTTCAAAGAATAGGTAGGAACGTGATAAATGAAAACTGTCAGCAGGAATTTGAGGTATGGGACCCTGCCACGGAAAGGTATGAGTATATATTCTTTTTTTGTTATGTAGCCCAGGCTAGTTCCCAACTCACAACTCCCTCCTGCATTCTGAGTAGCTAGAATTACAGTCATGGGCCACCACAACACTTTTCAGTAATTAAAAGAGAAGCCCTCTTTCCTTTCCTTTTTTAATTTATTTACTTTTATTTTATGGGCATGTTTTGTCTGCAGGTAAGTCTGTGAGAGAGTGTCAGAGCTTGGAGTTACAAACAGGCGTTAGCTGCCATGTGGGTGCTGGGATTTGAACCTGAGTCCTTGGGGAAAGCAGTCAGTGCCCTTAACTGCTGAGCCATCTTTCCAGCCCCAACTTTTTAGTAATTTTTAAGAGTGACAAGTTGTTGTTTAGCCTAGAATCTAGATTTCTTTAACAGTAGAGTGACAGGGCAGATAGAAAGGTCAAGTGGGGCCGGAGGACAGCAGCTCTCAGTCCATCCTGGTGAACTCAAGCTTGGTCTGTGGGCATGGGAAGCATGCTGACCACAGAGAGCCTAGTAAGACTGCCTGGAAGGTGGCAGAGTGGTCACACACACCGAGGGAGCTGTGTCTCGGCAGGTGTGAGGGATAAGAACTTCACCTGGAAATGTGGAGGACCCAGCGGGACTGTGGCAGAAGGGAGCCGGACTTCGTCAGAGCTGGGGTTCCCACCTGACGCTGTGGAAAACGGACAGTTCATGAGAAGAGGAGGTGGAGGCCTGGGCTAGGACCGGCAAAGACTGAACGATGCTCTGATAGGGTGATCCAGCCGCAGGTCTGGAAGGAGCATGTTGCTATGCTTCCTTCATATCGGACTGGAGAGCAAACCTAGCCTTGTGCCCTACTAGGCAAGCATTGCACCAGGGAGCTAAACTCCCAGCTCACTTGCTGTGTACACATCCTTGTGCCAAGGTGACCTCCATTTTGTTTAAACTCGTATAGCTGGATGCTGACAAGTATGAGAATGATCCAGAACTGGAAAAGATCCGGAAAGAGAGAAACTACTCCTGGATGGACATCATCACCATATGCAAAGAGAAACTTCCCAATTATGAGGAGAAGGTGAGTAGGCCCCACTTGGAGAGGACCAATTCCCTCTTGCCTGTTAACACAAGACTTTCCATTTAGTGTGGTTTTGGGGCGGAGTGATGCTGGGTGAGCCCCTCCCTCTCAGCTCTTGAGGGGCATGACTCTTTGTGGATCAGCTTGGGGTTTTCTCCATGGGATTCACAGTTCTGCACCTGCTGCTTCCCTAGACTTGAATGTTTTCCTGGGAGCTTAAGGGGTGGTGTCTTCAGGGTACCTGACCCCTTCCCTGGGGCCATTCAGTTTAGTGGCATAGAGTTCTTCAGAATGTCCTCACAGAGTGGAGCATGTAATCTCAGCACTTGGAAGGTGAAAACAGGAGGATCAGAAGTTCAAGGTCATCTCAGCTCCAAAGCGAGTTTGAGGCCAGCCTAGGCTAAACGAGACCCTGTTTTAGTTGGCTCCTTCCACCATTTAGGTTCTGGGCATTAAATTCAAGACACCAGTCTAGGTGGCAGGTGCCTTTACTGACTGTGCCGTCTCCCTGGCTCAGCTCTTGGCACTTTTTTTTTTTTTTTCTGAGACAGGGTTTCTCTGTGTAGCTTTGCGCCTTTCCTGGAACTCACTCTGTAGCCCAGGCTGGCCTCAAACTCACAGAGATCCACCTGCCTCTGCCTCCCAAGTGCTGGGATTAAAGGTGTGCACCACCACTGCCTGGCCAGCTCTTGGCACTTTTATTAACCCGTAGCATTCACTGTAGTCTGGCTGTAAGGGCAGGGGCTGCATGACGGCTTCCCTCTTGGACTAGATCAAGATGTTCTTTGAGGAGCATCTGCACCTGGATGAGGAGATCCGCTACATCCTGGAGGGCAGTGGGTACTTCGATGTCAGGGACAAGGAGGACAAGTGGATCCGGATTTCCATGGAGAAGGGGGACATGATCACGCTTCCTGCTGGCATCTACCACCGTTTCACGCTGGATGAGAAGGTGAGAGTGTGCTGTGCTGTGGTCTGGCCTGTGCGTGGACATCACAGGTGGCCGTGACTCACTGGCTGTGTTGTGCAGGGGCCGTCTCCCGGATACACGGGCAGTCACAGAGAGAGCCAGTGGAGCCTGTGGCCAGGGAGCCTTGGCGGGAAGGATCAGAATCTCACTTTTGTTCTTGGTGGACAGTGCCACGGCATTAATCCACAGGCTTTAGTTAAGGGAGCAGATATCTTCAGGAGAGAGACCCACTACTCCACTGAGGGGTGGGTGCTCTCATTTGGGGACCTCAGCAGTCATGCAGTACAGTTATTAGGACTGGAAGTAAGCACAGGAATTAGTTTTTAGGGTCTCAGAGGATGTTTTGGGTTAAACCTGACATGTAGGTATCATTTTTGGTTTTAAAGACAGGGTCTCATGTACTCCAGGCTGGCCTTGAACTCACTATGTAGTTGAGGAGGACCTCGAAATTCTGATCTTCTTGTCTTAACCTCCTCAGTGCTGGGATTACAGGTGTTTACCACCAAATCTAGTTTCTGTGGTGCTGGGGATGCAACTGAGGGCTTTGTCCATGCTGGACAGACAGTTTACCAACTGAGCTACATCTCCAGCCCAAGTTAATTAAAAGAAAAAATTACTTCTATTTTTAAATTATGTATGTGTCTGTTGGGGTAAGTGTACATGGGTGCAGGTTCCTTAGAATCCAGAAGAGGGCATTGGATCTCCTGGAACTGTAGTTGTGGTTGTGGGCCACCTGACATGGGCGCTGGAGGAGCTGACCTTGGGCCCCTCCCCCAAGAGCATATTCACTCTTAACTCCTGAGCCATCTCTCTAGCCTTCCAAATTAACAGTAAATGCATATGGTTTAAACTTCAGAATTATGAAGCCAGGTATGGTGGCATATGCATGTCCTCTCAGCATTTGGGACGTTCAGACAGGAGGATCAGGACTTCAAGGTCATCCTCAGCTACAGATCAAGTTTTGAGGATAGGCTGGGTAAGATGAGACCCTGGATCAAAACAAAGAACAAAATAAAATAAAAATTAGGGCTGGAGAGATGGCTCAGAGGTTAAGAGCACTGACTGCTCTTCCAGAGGTCCTGAGTTCAATTCCCATCAACCACATGGTGGCTCCCAACCATCTATAGTGAGACCTGGTGCCCTCTTCTGGTGTGCAGACATATATACAAACAGAACACTGCATACATAATAAATAAATAAATCTTTAAAAAAATAAGAATTAAGAATTATGAGATGGAGACAACAGTGTTTTCTCCCCTGTTCCTCAGGGCCCCAGGTCTATCCCTCAAGGGTGCCAGAGACTACATTGCAATAATTCCTTTATGAATTATTATCTCAACCTCCCTGATGCTATGACCCTTTAATACAGTTCCTCATGGTATGTTCACCTCCAACCATAAAATTATTGCATTGCTACTTCATAACTGTAGTTTTGCTACTGTTATGAGTTGTCATGTAAATATCTGATATGCAAGCCAAAGGGGTCATGAGCCACAGGTTGAGAGCCGCTGCTTTAGAGGGTGTCTGCATATTCAGAGGCACAATTCTTTCTTTCCTCCTTTCACCCCGGAGGCAACGGGTTCTGCATTTTACTTTTCCACTTGGTGTGCTTCCAGGGTGCATAAAGAGTCCTTGAAGATGGACATTTCCTCTCTAGAAAGCCCAGTCCCAAAAAAACACATAGAGGCTTATGTGAATTATAAATACTTGGCCAGTAGCTCAGGCTTATTACCAACTAGCTCTTACATTTTAAGTTAACCCATATTCCTTATTTACGCTCGACCACATGGCACATTCATCTTTTGCTCCCTCTGTCTCTGGCTGGTGTCTCTTGACTCCACCCTTCTCCTTCCCATCATCCTTAATTTGGTCTCCCATCCTATACTTCCTGCCTGGCTACTGGCCAATCAGCATTTTACTGAACCAATTCGAGTGACCAATCTTTACAGTGTACAAGAGGATTATCCCGCAGCAAGCCCTGTCTCTTGTTCACAGCTTCACTGTCATGCTTGATTTAATTACCTACTGTGTGGGGAGTCCCTAGGGATGAGCTTACTTCCACTTTGTTTGTGGCAGCCCGTACTTCTGTAAGTAACATACATTTGTCATTTTTACCTGGGTATGCTTATTTGTAGAATAAAGGTAAGACTGCATGGAAGCTGAATTTCTGGTTCAGGTCAGTGCTGGCAAATTATTCTCTTACCAGCAGCCAGCGGCAGGGGCCTGGTGCTGGTCCTTAGGAGAGTGGTGCCCAGGGGAGGGAGCAAGGAGGGTGGGTGGAGACCAGACCTGTTTCTCCTTGGTATGGACCAGGAGCAGCAGCTGCAGATGCTTATGCTGCTTGGAAGTGGCCTCACTGCTTGCACAGAGGTCTGAAGGAGCTGAGTGCTAAGTGGATGAGCCAGCTTCCAGGGCTATCTCAATGGTTCCCATGGAGATGAGCAGACTTGTTCAATGAGATGTGGGGATTGTTTTCTAGAACTATGTGAAGGCCATGCGGCTGTTTGTGGGAGAACCTGTGTGGACACCGTACAACCGTCCGGCTGACCATTTCGATGCCCGGGTACAGTATGTGAAGTTCTTGGAAGGAAGAGCATAGCGGTGCTCCCGGAAGAGGAACTGCACTGTGTGAGGCTCTTGCTGCAGTCACCGATGGGAAAGTTGCTCACCTCTCTGCGTTTGTATGTGGACTTGACACTAGACCAGCTCTCCTTGGCAAGATTGCCAGATCAGATTCTTTTTAATGAAAGCATCTATAAAGGTGATTTTTATATGAATGTCACAAAAATGTGAACAAGTGATCTTAATTTTCCCCAACTCTGTCAAGACTTAGAGGTATGGGAGCCCTGGGTTGGTGTATGCATCATGCATGACAGATGGTCATGTCCCAGAAGGTCCTTCCGTAGGTGTGTATTGGAATGTGACAATGTGCCCTTTGGAAGGGGGCAGTTATACCCAGCACAGGTAACCAGAAGGAAGATGTTTTTCTCCCTCGTTGATCTCTGGGTGGGGAAGTGGGATTGTTTGTTTTTCTTCCTTCAGATTAAAGCAGCTACCTTAATTATATGCTCATGGTGAGCTGTATTATGCTCATGTTCATTAAAGCCTCTCACTAGAGTCCTTATATGATTTTATGTGTGCATGGCTAATTTCTACATCAGGGTAGAATCTTTTCAGAGTGATTTCAGGTCCTTTTGTAATCAAGAGTCAAAAGAAGTAACATGATTTTCCTCCTCAAGTGCCTTGGGGCTAGACTGATATAGCTTAGATGTAGACCTCTAACCTAACATATGCAAGGCCCTGGGCATGGGCCCCAGCACCACAATAAAGAATAATAGTGCTGAAACATGTTTATGTGTAGTGTGTTATGATTTCAGAAAGCCCCAACAATCTGTGCTGTAGAAGGGCAGGCTATTCTCTAAGTGATAGCTCTCAGTGTGATGTCGTCTGTTACCTTTATCACTGTGTTAGATTTGGGGGCTTGCTTCTGCCATACAGGGGAGCTTGAGCCATGGGGTGGGTGACTGAAGCTGCCCAGCTTCAGAACTCAGATGTGTACAAGCAGCACATCCAAGGCTCTCTGCCTCTAGAGCTACTGTCTGTAAGTAAGGACTGATCTGCCAGCTCTGGTCTACCGATTATTGTTATTTGTTTTTAAAGATTATATTACTCTGTAGCAGCAGCTGGCCTGGACCTGGATATGTAGACCAGGCTGGCCTCAAATTCACAGAGAGCCTCCTGTCTCTGTCTTCTGAGTGCTGGGATTAAAGGTGTGTGCCACTGTGCTTGGCTTTAATTAAAAAAAAAAATTATTTTGTGTTTGAGTGCTTTGCCTGTGTGTGTATGTGTGTGTGTGTGTGTGTGTCTGTGTGTCTGTGTCTGGTGCCCACCAAAGTCAAAAGAGGGTGTCAAATCCTCTGGGACTGGAGTTACAGTTATGGTATGGTTGTCAGCTGCCATATAGATGTTGGGAATTGAACCTGCGTCCTCTGCAAGATCAGCCATCACTCTTAACTACTGAGCCATCTCTCCAGCCACATTTTTGTTGTTGTTTGTTTTAAATTTTTCTTTCTTTGTGATAGGGTCTCTTGTATCGTAGGCTGGTCTCAAATTCATTACGTAGCCGAGGATGACTTTGAGAAAGTGGGGATGGCCTTGAAGTCCTGATCTTGCTTGTACTTCCTGAGTGCTGGGGTTACAGGTATCTGCCCCCATGCCTGCTTTATACAGTGCTGGGGGTGGAACCCAGGGCTTCTCCCGTGCTGAGCAAGCACAGTACCAACCGAACTTCAGCCTCAGCCCCTGTTCCTGTTTTCTAGCTCTGGGCAGGCTGGGCTTGATCTTATGACCTCTTCCTGCCTCCGTCTCCTGATTACTGATTACAGATGTTTGTTAACACTTGCTTCGTTTTTATTTTTTGTGGGTCCCTTTCTGTAAATGGCTTCATTCGTGTTGAAGACTGAATCTGTCTTCCACCATGTTCTACACGCTGACATGTCTTGGGGCTGAGCCATGACTTCACAGATTGGGGGAAGATAACAGAATTCTGTCAGTACACCTAAGTGAGGTAACAGTTTCTTAGCTCTCCCAGAGGATTCCCAATTTTTTTGCATATATATATATATGTATATGTATATATAATAATAATAATAATAATTATTTTTTTTTTCTTTTTTGAGATAGGGTTTCTCTGTGTGACAGTCCTGGCTGTCCTGGAACTTATTATGTAGACCAAGCTGGCCTGGAAATCACAGAGATCTGTCTGCCTCTGCCTCCCAAGTGCTAGGATTAAAGGTGTGTGCCACTATTGCCTGGCCCCACTTTAGTTAAAAAACAAAAACAAAACATAAACTGTTTCATTAAAATACTGTAGACATATAATAAATGCACTTATCTGAAGTGTTTAAATTATTTTTTTAAGCCGGGCGTGGTGGCGCACGCCTTTAATCCCAGCACTCGGGAGGCAGAGCCAGGCGGATCTCTGTGAGTTCGAGGCCAGCCTGGTCTACCAAGTG